TGCAAGCGCAGTGCTGCTGATGGTGGCACTGGCGGCAGCAGTTCTCCTCCTGCTACCGCTGGTTCTGCCTCCTTTGCCTCCACCTCCACCGTTCCTCCTCCTGATCCCGGTCGCCATGATGCTTCTCCTCGCCTTCCTCGCCTTCCTTCCCTCCGACAACATCGCGGCATCCCATCACTTCTCACCACCACAGTGAACGTCGACACAACTCTCTCTCTCCGCCTGGTAGCCGCAGGAGAGAGGAGGGAGAGTGCGTTGAAGTCTTTTCGATCGATGGTAAGTCGGAAACGTTGCATTCATCATTGTCGTTGTCTTCATCCTCGCTCCTTCAACAGAGAGTCGGATAGTAAGTTAGGCATCTGTCCCAAAGAACTCCTGTTGTGGGCAGGTGGCAGCTTTCGGCCATTGGTGGAGAGGTAGATGCAGAAAAATCAAAGCATTAGATTATGGTAGATCGGTAGAAGTTGTAGTGGTGGCTGTGTCCGGTGTAGTTTCCAACGATGACTACGTCAAAAAGAAGAATGACAGAGGCCTAATAGTTAATTCCTATGCTCGCTTTGGTGTCTTGGGAAGATGACAGGACGTGCATATGGGCACTTCGTCCCTGTTTGCTGTCTTAGTTCATGAATTCTTTGAAGCAGTACTGCTTCATCAATCAACCTGCTTTATCAAGAAATCATCCATGTCTGGTCTTCTCACCGTAACACCCAGGTTGTGAAGCACACAGATTATGAACGCTGCTGCTATTTGATTCAGATCTCGTCAGCATCTCTTCATGATGCACATGTTAGATTCGATAACCAGGATGAAGTTATCGATCCAAGTCCCAATGGGATTGGGTTAAATTAATACTATGATTTAGTGCCACATAGGAAATGAGAACTTCCATTTATAAGAGACTGATGATGGAAATATTAAAGCTAATTACAGAGTTAGCTATCTTTAGGATTTTGGTCTTAATATTTTAAAAAATTATATTGACAATCATATGTTACGAAAGTTTTGGTAACATGTAAATCCATTTATCCTAGTATTATCGATTTTATTAATAATAATATAAAAAAAAAATAAAAAGATAATTTTAATATTTTAGTTTGTGGTGGCGAACAGTGATGGTGGTGGTGGACGACGATGTTACTGGAGACCGTAAGTGACTGTTGTGTATGAGGAAAGTGATGACGAGAGATAAGGGTTGCTCTACGTTTGTGTTAACGCCGATGCAGTTGCTAAGCGGCTCTTTCATCGCTCGACATCTGTATTAGCACTGACGTAATTGTCGAACGATACCATTTTGTATTTGTGTCAGCATCAATGCAATTGTCAAGTAACAAAAGGGCCATCAATGCAGATGTCACCACTAATATCGTACGTTATCATTAATTAAAATTTTAAAATTATATTTTTATCTTTTATTTTAATGTTATCGTTGGTAAAACTGATGGCGCTAGGATAAATAGACTTAGATGATTCACTTTTATAATTATAGGTATGTCAATGTAACGTTTTAAATTATAGAGATCGAGATACTAAAGGTAACTAACTATATATAGTAATATATAATTAATTTGATATATTATTATTATTATTAACTTAAATAATTTATACTAGTGATTTAACAAAATTAATTAATGTAAGGCATGTTGCGACAGCACAAAGAGTATCCCATAGAATATTCATAATTGTCATTGCTAATTTACATACAAACTATGCTCCACGTGTACTAAACTATGACACCTCTAGAATATTCATAATTGTCATTGCTAATTGATATAATTTATGAGTGAAGAAGTTTATAATGGGATGATCACCTTCTATCAACCATCTTATTTCTTGAGGAATGTGTCTTTCGAGAGAGAATATTAAAAAGAAAGAAGAAATTATCAATAAAACTTGTTTGAGGCTAAATATATTAATAGGTCGAAATATTGAAGTATATATGGGTGACATATTGATCAAACTCGTGGATGCTATAACTAACGATTCAAACCTTAATACATGTAGGAGTATTATTATATAATTATATTAAGTTGAAGATGGTAAGTTTGCCATTGGCACTATTTTACGCGAATTTCTCAGCTTCCATATCAAAACTATTGGTTTAGTAAGTGTGACCCAAAAGTATACCGTTGATCCAAAATAAGTGTGACCCAAAAGTAAGACAATTCTTATAGACTGAATAATTCACTATTGGTTTAGTAAGACGGTATTATATGTAAACCAATTTATTAGGTCATACACAACTTAATCAAAATTGAGCTCCTCTCACTGTTTATCAAAAAAATTGGTTTATTAGTATTATCGATTTTGTTAATGCTTATTCCGATTGTCCAATATGTGAAGAGGATTCAAATCTAATCGGGTCCAATTCCATGTTCATTGCAAGGAAAGGTGGAGGGATAAAATTCATGCTTAAATTAGTAGAGGATTTAGAAATATAATAACCATAATTAGGAGAGTCTTTCCAAGGGATTTTTATATGGTCGGTGGATTGTTAGTGTGGCCCGCTCACGAGGAATTGATGGTTTTGTCATTTCGAAATATGTGAATTAAAAAAAAAATCTTTAAGGGCAAAAGAGACCTGATGGACTTATGAACCCTTGGTTCCATACTCCTCAACCAATGTGAGATTAAATGACCTTATCAACATTGAATTGAGATGATGGTTAATATTAGGAATGCTTATGCGGATTGCTCAGTTGTTATTGAGTTGTGCACTAAACCATTGGGGTTGATGTCATAACTATCAACAATCGTTGTAGTTAGATACAGTGTTCTATTTGTATAAAGTCAATATCTCTATCGATGCCATGTTACCAATCTTATGGAACATATAATCAACTAATGTGTCGAAAAGCTTATGATGATGTATCATCCTATATGTTGTACTCTTTGTATCAACTTCAAAATTGGGTTCTTGCTCATTAATCAATCTTGAGATAAGTCTTTCAAATTCATCATACATTCCAAAGGCTCGCAAGATGATCGATCAATGTAGGTGAATTTTACCGGTTCGTCTCTAATATTTGTTGAAGTCTCAAGCCTTAATAAGCTTCATAATTGAGTGTTCGACCATTAATTATGTAAGCCTTCCAAAATGAATAACAATATGTTATCATTCCAAAGTGAAGTGGGATTTTGTATGTGAATATTTTAACATTCTAAATTGAAGTGGGACTGACCTAATCTTCATTAGTCGAAAGGACATATCTTCTTACATGCGCATTGTGTTTCTACTTTGATGACCAACATAACACAGTGTATAAGCACACTAACTATCAATCTAAAAGATCATTGTTTCATTGGAATAATTCGGACTAATCCACATATATGTAATAATTGGAAAGACAATACTTTATCAAAGCTAAACTTGGGATGCACTATCCAATCTAGGATTAATTATAGATTATTTTTGTAATTAGTTATCTTTAGTATCTTGATCATTATATTTTTAAAAATTATATTGAGATGTCTATATTTATGAAAGTAAAATATTTAATCTTATTTCTTATTATGTTATCAACTCTATTGATGAAAATATCGTAGTATTTACCGTTGAGCATATGCTGACTCTATCTTAGTTCGATTTACCATTGAACACATGCGGTATTTTCGTCAGCAAAATCGATGATATGAGAAAAAATAAGGTTAAATATTTCACTTTCGTAAGTTTAGAAATCTCAATATAAATTTTGAAAGTGTATGAATCAAATACTAACGTAGCTAATTATAGGGGATAATATGTAATTAGTCATTGTTTGCATGAAACAAAAATATTAAGATTATGATACATACATTTATTTAAATAAGAACGAACCTAATAGACAAAAATATAGTTAGATTTTTTTTTTCCATAGGATTCGAGCCCACGTTAATTCGATCTATTGAAATCCTTATCACCTTCCAATATTATTCTTTTTATTCTATCATATTGAGTGAATACAATGACTCTATACATTCATATATTTTAGAATCATGCAAAGACACTAACATATAACTATCAAGAAAGATCCAAATGACCTTGTTTGCAAATAAAATCATATATTTCGTTATTTACTATGGAGCTCTACCTTTTCAATTCACTCCCCAATGTCATGGAGAAAAAAAGATCAATTTTTTTGTCAATTACTTCAAAGAAAACATTATCATGTAGTACACAACTCCTTGCATCTTGATAAAAAAAATAAACACCACTTTGGTCATCACATCTCATCAGTGATGTAAATTTAAGGAGTCCACAAACATATTAGTGATCTAAGTCCAAGTCAACACAAAAAGGTCTAAGAGTCAACTAAGAGTCTTGCTAAAAATATATGGAAAACATGGGTTAAGGATCAATTTGCTAAAATAGATAATATACAAACATCAATTTAATGTGTGTTAATATTTCAATTAAAAAAAAATTCACATCGAGATTATGCAATTTTGATATATTATATTAAAATTATAAAAGATAATATTTTTGTTGAAAGGATTTAACAACCATCCATCCATAATAGATAAATTGATTGAAAAATAATAATTTTTATCCTTTCACTGTCAGTTGGTATATGTAAATTCATTAACTCTGGGGCTAATTATATTATAATTATTTTTTTAGTATTTTAATCTTTATATTTTTAAAATTATATTGAGATTCTTATATTTATGAAGGTAAAACATTTGATATTCTTGTTCCAACAAAATCTTTAATTTAATCCTATATATACATCTTAATGTTTGACTTTTGTAAGTATAAAGATCCTAATATAATTTTTAAAATATAAAAATTAAAATACTAAATATAATTAATTATAGAAATAATATTAAAATAGTAAAGATAATTAATTATTAAAAGAATATATAATTAATCCTGATAATGATTATAAAATAAAAGATTAAAATACGCAGAGAAAAAGACAAGTGATGGAAGGAGGACCGACGATGCCGTCAGCTGACAACGGATGACAGCCCGGCCGTTCTCCACCAACCAATCTTAACCTCGACACTCTACCTTACTATCTTTCTCGCTGCTGCTCGTTCTCTCCCTCGCCGATACATTTTCCCTCGCTCCCCACCTCCTCTTTCCCTCTCTCCAATCTCCGAAGCGAATGGCCGTCTGTCGGATAGGTATGACGGCCGTCGTCTCGGTGGCGGCGGCCCCGTCGACTTCCTCCCTCGCCAGCCGCCGGCCGTTCCTATTCCGCACCGTTTCACCTCGCTGCCCCTCCCGCCGCACTCAGAAGCCGGTCGGCCGTCGCGCCAGTCTTCCCGTCTCCGCATCCCTGGCGGCCTCCACAGACGAGGCCGCCACGGTCCCCCCTCCTGGAGGTATACCTCGGGCGTCCTTTCGCCTCTCTTAGTTCCGCTTCTTCCGAAACTCGTGAAACTTGCTTGGTAATGTTGTCATCGAATTATTACTTGCTGTTATCATTATTCTTTCCTGTTAGATCATTGTAGAGGACGAGTTATTATCTTGCTAACATGATCAAACAACGTTTGAGAAGGTGGAATTAGTTGAAATGCAATTACAATTTAAAAGATTTCGGAGAAGATTCAAGGAATCTCTCATCACTTCGGATATGCCTTTTCTATAACCTCCATTGTCTTCTATAAAATTGTGCAATCACTTCAACTGTGAAATTAGGGTCGTCATCTGATGAATGCTGGTTTATCTGAAGAAGCATTGGTTCTATATGTAGAGGGAAGAGCGAAAATGCATAATTATATCTATAATCATCTTATATAACTGATCTTTAACCAAACATGTAAATTGTTAGTTATCTTGCGTTGTGCCATTTTTGGTCATGAGGCTATGGGTAGTAGGTTATGTAGTAATGCTACAACATTTGGTTTCTTCTCCAATCTTTTAACAAAATTAAGTGCCATAAGGTTGACTTGTCAAGCATTTGGAAGTAGAAGTTTGCAGTCAAGCTAGTTATATGGCCTTCTGATAATTTTTTGCACAAATTTATTTGAGGACTTTAAAAGGATAATAAGGGGTGAGCAGATTGAGAATGATCGAATGGAATTCCCATTGTTGTAGTAGCTATAGTTACGTATTTTAAATGAGATTTATAAAGTGTAGATCGGTATTGGTATCAACTGAGATTTCGATGTGCCACACCTGCAGCCATGTCTAAGTGTTCTTGTTATGTCCTGATCCTTATACTTGGAAATGTCCAGACCTATAAGACCTATTACTTCTAGTAAAATATGAAACTTGAATCCATGGTCAAGATATCGCATAAGAAGATGAAAGAGGAATATCCTGCTATGTTATCATATGCCTTACCAATATATTACTGACATATGCAATGCTTGGCATGAAACTGAGGGAAGAAACATGGTAAAAGAGTTAAATGAAAGAGTTCACTTGTAGACGTTTGAAAATCATGGCATTTGTTGGCCATGTTTTTCGATTCATCTTAATTAAGTACAATCAAATGTATGATAGTCACCTTCTGTTAGCTGTTAGAAACAGTTAAGGTGGTTTTTTAAAATTTATTTGAGATATTTGTTGCAGATTCTTCTGGTGGAATTGAGAATTTGGTGATCATTGGTTCTGGTCCAGCTGGATATACTGCAGCAATCTATGCTGCTCGTGCAAATTTAAAGCCTGTTGTGTTTGAAGGTTATCAAGTTGGTGGTGTTCCAGGAGGGCAGCTAATGACTACTACAGAAGTTGAAAATTTTCCTGGGTTTCCTGATGGAATAACTGGCCCTGATTTGATGGATAGGTATATGGGTCGTGCTACATCCTTAAATGCTTTTACTTTTCCTTTGTAATATTATTCTTTTTTTTCCCTTTGTTTCTTATATTTGTTCACAGAGTTGTTTATGTATTTATTAAGCTAATCATTTCAAATCAGCACTTGTTTTTATGTCTTACAATGATGACATTATGTAGGATACGACGGCAAGCTGAACGCTGGGGTGCTGAACTTTTTCAAGAAGATGTTGAATTTATTGATGTTCAGCATAATCCTTTTATTGTCCACAGTAGTGAGCGCAAGGTAACATTTACTTTTTCTATCAAATGTATTCTGATCTATTTAGTGAAGTTCATATATGATGCTCTTGTAATATCATTTAAGATGGAAAATTCATAATGGCCAAATGCAAACTTTTTTCTCATCTATATTCTTGCATCAGAAATCTAAATCTCAGGGATCCTTGCAAACTCTTTTGTCATCTATATGGTGCATTTGCAACATCAATTAATTGTTAATTTGATGAACTATCCCAACCCTTGATTTCTAGAAGAAGCAAAGTAAGCTTAACAAGAAATATGTTATATTAGACTGGGTAAATGGCTTTAGTGTCATATCCAAGGAATAAAAATCTGACCATACTTGTCAGTACAGATTAGTTTTTATTGGTTTGATGGCTGGCTATTATGTAGACTAAACAATTTTGCCTGGTTTGATCCAACATCAAGCTTACTGCCTGATATGCTTACCTGGTCCTGTCAAATACCGAGCTTATTGCCAGTAGACTTTATCATATCAAGTGTCCTGGGTGGTAAGGCTACTTAACTTATCATACTTCTTACATTTTATGCTTTTTGCTTTAAATCCAATCTAGTTTAAGCTAACCCTTGGGCAAGTCTTGAACTTTTCTTTCTCTTTCCTATCGCTGCCTCCGCTTGTGAGCCTCCAACTCAATTGGTGAGGCCCTCGCCTACCCTTGAATGGTGACCACAGTGATGAGGAGCCCTGGAAGGGGAAATTGTGAATGCTACTTCCGGCAGCATCGCCTCCTTGCCACCACTAATGCCCTACTCCTCTGTCTTGATGATCTCTGCTTTCATCCCTACCTCTCTCTCTCTCTCTCTCTCTCTCTCTCTCTCTTCTCTGTGTGTAATGTTTAGGCTGATATTAGCAAGTACATAGTCATACCAACATGGTACATTACTACATTAGAGGTACCAGCCCCATACTAGACTAGTCGCTTACTAGCATCATATATCATATTGAGATTTTAATCCTTAGTCATATGTCTCGGTAATTGTCCTAAAATCCATCTGATTAGAGGATAAATGTGAGGTCAAATGAAACTCTGGCTTCAGGTAAAAACACTGGGCTCCTGCTAATATGGGATCTGAGAAAGATCGACTTATGCAGTCTTACCCGGACAAGTAGAGACTATTTTGTGACTTGAACCTTGGTGATCCAAGTTGTGGTGCCAAAGGTTGTGCTACACCATAAACAAAATGATTCTCTAATCATAAGTTTTGGTTGTGCAAACTTTCTTGAGAACTATGAAGCAGAAAGACTACAAGGTGCTTTTAAATTTAAGTCACGCCGGTTTCAGACATTAGTACAATTGAGTACTTCCTAACATTCTATAACATATTAGGAAACATTGTATCATCTAAATGTACACGGTCCACTTAATGTTTTGTGTATCTATTTGAAGTACTTGCTTGAATAGGTGTTATCTACATGCTTCTTACTTGGTTACAAATATGATTATCATAGATTTTCTAAGTTGTAAAACATATATATCTTCATATGCAGAAATATCAAAGTATGAAAGTATATTTATATAACTTGCTATATCCATGTCTTGATGTCTCCTCTTTTTTCTTAAATTTGCCATACCGGCATGTCCATATCATGTTATGTCTATGTATTTTGTCCACACTGCTTTCTTGATAGCTTGAGATTGTAGAAAATGTGATCTCATGGTACTCATCTTTCCATCTTTGACAATAGCAACAAAAATTTCTTCCATGAGGCTATGTGAATCTGCAATAAGCATTACATAACACATGGCTTTTTCTAGAAGGTTGTTAAATATCCTATTTAATTGAATTCGTTAAGATTCAAATCACTTCTTTTAATTTTCCTTTTCTGAAAGAAAATTTTAACACGGTGAAGAATTTTAATTTCGGTACCGGAACCATATCTGTCCCAGTCTGAATCAGTATGGGAACGGAGCCATACTGGCCTATTGTGGTGTTGGTACATTGGTATTTGTTGACTTTTGAAAAAAAAAAAACTTAAAAAAGGCTCAAAGTTAAAAAAAAGAAGTTACTACTTGTTACAAGTCTTATACCAGGCGATACACATGGTACAAGGCCTATACCAGGTGGTATGGCTCATACCAGGCTTGAATTGCCTGATTTACCTTCATCCAACTGCCAGTAGTCCATACCAAACCATACTGGGCGGTATTGTAAACCTTCTATATCATATCAGACATTTGAATTGGATTAAGATATTTGAAATTCAAATAGTCCAATTTCATGATATGAACAACATGATTAAGGTGAAATCACATGTAGAAATTCTGAGAGGAAGAGTGTTTCTAGCTTGAGAATCTTATAGTTACTGTATAGTTGTTTCTTGAAGTATGTTTCTAATTTCCTCTGACAAGCATAGATGCATAAAATTCTGTAGCTACCTCAGCAGAACAAAAGAAGTTTAATATTTAACCTCCATTAGACGATGATATGGTTTGTGAAGTCAGTTAATTCCCTTTTTAGAATAGGTGTAACATGTTATATAAATAAATCATTAGAAAAAGTAGCATTAAATGGCGTGTCTACATGGCATCTAGAAGATATCCACTTACTGCTATATGAGTATTGATAAATAAAGGTTTATTTCTTGCCTATTATGTGAAGAATGATGGGAATCTTAGAAAAGATTATTCAACCAAATAGAAGATGTGAATCTCCTAAATTTTCAAACCTTCAATATTAAGAAAAAGATATGGCTGTTTGTGATATAACTTAACTGTCCTGTTGAAGGCAAAAGTTGGAAGTAACAAGCTAGTTTATTTGAAGCCAGTGCTGTAATTCTTTTCAATAGGCTTCTATCTTGTGATGCTAATCCTTTTTTTTTTCATTTCTTTTTTGGTTCATGTGTGTAGGTAAAATGTCATAGTCTTATTATCGCAACAGGAGCCACTGCTAAAAGGCTTAGGTTGCCTCGTGAAGATGAATTTTGGAGTAGAGGAATCAGCGCCTGCGCAATATGTGATGGAGCATCACCACTTTTCAAGGGGCAAGTTTTGGCTGTTGTTGGAGGTGGTGACACAGCTACTGAAGAAGCATTATACTTGACCAAATATGCACGACATGTACACTTGCTTGTTCGAAGAAACCAACTACGGGCATCTAAAGCAATGCAAGACAGGTTAGTTAGATTAATGAAACTGTTTTTTTTTTCAGCCTAAGTCATTGCATCTTTATGATTTAAAATTCTATAGTAAAAGAGAAATCTTTTTGTTTCCTGATAACAAAGATCTCCTTATCATGATCAAATATGTGCATAATATAGTTACAAATGAGAGCAGATTTTCAATAATAAAATTCTATTCTTGAAAATATATGTTACAAATGGGATAGTTCAAGAACCCATTAAGTAGAATTCTATTTGTAAGTGTTGGCATATCGAGCAGATATTTTTCTTCTTTTCATAAGGGTATGATGACTACATGCATGATTGACTTTTTAATGGCTTACAATCACCATATCCTCATATTCCATGTTTAGCCATCCACTAATGACATAGCACATGACAATCAAGCCATACTTTGTGATACATAATGCCAATTCAGTATCTCTCGTTGTATAAAACTCAGGGAACACTGCTTAGCAAATAGTAGCTTTCTGCATAATAATCATTATTTCATTTGTACTTCAGATAATTTTCTCTGGTTTTTTGTAGGATATAATATCTAATAATTTATCAATTGCCACTGTTGCTTTGTCTCTTAATAGCTTCATGGCTCTTCTGTGCTAATGCAAACAAGTTATGAGTATTGATGATGGTAAACATTCAACTTCCTGAATGTTCTTTTAACAGGTTGATTATGGCGAATGTTTCACAGAGTACTCAACAATCCGAATATCACAGTGCACTTCAATACAGAAGCTGTGGATGTTGTTAGCAATAGCAGGGACCAGATGTCAGGAGTTCTAGTAAAAAGAGTTGATACAGGTGAAGAATCAGTTCTTGAGTTAAAAGGTCTATTTTACGGTATAGGGCATACTCCAAACAGCCACTTGTTGGAAGGTCAAATTGAACTTGACAGTTCTGGATATATCATAGTCAAAGAAGGCACATCAAAAACTTCAGTTGAAGGTGTCTTTGCTGCTGGTGATGTACAGGTAATACTTTAAACTTGCTGTATTATCCATAATCAAATTGTACTCTTAATCTTATAAATATAGATCAGGAAAAATCATAATTTTGTTTACCGCTGATTGAGATACACCAAAATTGTTGATGATTATTGTCACTGTTTTACACCTTGCAAGATGGTAGAAAGATGAACTGGACTTTTTACATATGCTTAAAGCAAAGTTAACTCATTGTATCAGTCAGATGATAGTTAATATGATTGTTTTGTTAAAGACCATGATGCTTTGGATTGGGCTATGTGGATCAGATTCAACCGATTTAGGTTGGGATGGGCCTTGACGAACACAATATCAATTGTTTCTTTCAGCTGTGGCTGCCCACAGTTGCTGCCACCAACACTAATGGCTGCCACCTGACTAACTATGAAAGGACAAAACTAGAGGATTCAGTGGGATGAGAGAGCTGACATTGCTGCACTGTCATGCTCATATGGAGTATGTCACATATTACAAAGAGGCTTTTGACCTATTCCATAAGTAGCTTCAAGTTACCTGTATTCTAATATAACTTTAAAGATCGATCTGTTTATCTGATAATATACAAGAATTGTATATCTTCTAACCTTATACTATATCTTTTAGAAGTACCCTTTCAAATCTTCATTTCTTATTTTTTATTTCTAAGAATTACTTATTTTGGTTGATCATGAATCGCTAACCTGATCCAGTTTGATCTTGATCCCTTATCCAAGACTAATCTTGACCCTAAATGACTTGCTCTGTTCTCTTGGATCTTTTATCAATTTGGAACTTGCAGTTTTGAATGGACAAGTCAATGTGATCTTATTCCAATGCTCATTCTACCATCATATTGTTAGGATAAGTTGAGAGAAAAAAAGATGTCTGTTGCCTTTGGATGTGCGAGCAAGAGTTATAACCTTGTAAATTTTATCTCTGAGTAATGGATGGTGTAAAATAATGGGTAACTATGATTAGTCATGGATGAGAAAAGGCTTGTTTGTGATTGTTGTGGCAAGTGATTTACTTCTAAGTATTAGAACGGAACTTCTACAAGTTAAAGAAAGACTGCAATAATTAAGATAAGAATATTAAATAGTATAGTACCAGATTAGTTTTTGTATATATCACGTAAAAAAAATTATATAAGATGAATGTTGTCCTTCAGGAATCATCCTAAAATGTTTTGGAGGGTTACCTGTGCACATCCATAAGGTGTGTGCACAGTTCAGTTGGGAAAGGTCACCCATCTCCTCTTGTATCAGGTTGGCTTTCCTTCTTAGATTCCAGACCTCTATTCCTTTCTTGGTTAAGACTTCTTTTTGGAGCCAAAACTCATCTCCAGAATCCCCTGAAAGTGACCAACTGCTATCATTAAGTTGGGTGACAAAACAAGTATCTCGAGACTCTAATCTTTTCAGGTCCCATCTTCTGAAGTATGCTCGATCTTGGATTCATATGCTTGATCTACAATTAATTTAGGGGTTGATCGACAAAGATCAAGCACCAAACCAAGTGGGTTTCCGGATCTAGACATAGTCACATGTCTGGAACTAGATTTTCGCCGGTTTAGATTTCATTTTCCTTCAAATAAGTGAGAACCACATGGATCCAACCTTGGGTTTGGGGTTTGTTTAGGGTTCGGATGGCAAAAGCCCTTAAGAATAGGTACCTGACTTGTGCTGGTCTACCATGTGATAGTACACCTGGCACGTACTAAACCCATACGGGTCTGGTTAGGGACTGGCACAGTTCTAGTATCCAAAACATCAAACCATGCTAGTGATATTTACTTATATGAAGTACATAGAATTTGTTCTCTAATCCTCTTGAAATAAAAAAAGTAAATAAGGGCAAGAGATAGTTGCATCAGGGTTTAATTAGATGATAGTCTCATTCTAATTTAGCCAACCTCTTTGCGTGATGAAAAACATTTTCAGATTGCAAAGTAGCTTGAAATAATTCAAATATGTCGTTATTCCAATTATCATTTCAAATACATCTGTTGCATAAACACATTAAGACTGTATTTGGTTCACTGCTAAATTAACCATGTTAAATTATCCTAATCTAGCTAACTAGTTTTAGCGTTTTTTAATTTCTGAAGGTGGATTATCTGGATTAGCAAAAAAAATGAGAGAGATGTTGTCTTAATCCATCATCCTGGATTCCTGGATTATCTAGATTATGCCCATTTGTCTGGGTTAATTTAAGCCCTCTTAGCTGAAGAGCATTTGGAGAAGGAGAATTAAACAATCGACACCAACTTTCCCCTCTTTAAATTCCAAATTAAACATAGTTTAAGTAAAGCTTATACAAGTTAAATTCTTTGAATGCGATATTGGATTTATAAATTCAGGTCAACAAAAAAAATCTGGAAGAAACACAACAATATATGTATTTCGGGAACAATCACTTCCAGTATCCTCACTTTCTTGTTGATGATTGTAGGATCATGAGTGGAGGCAAGCAGTAACTGCTGCTGGTTCTGGATGTGTTGCTGCTTTATCTGTTGAAAGATATCTAGTTGCGAACAATCTGCTTGTGGAGTTCCATCAGGTAATACGCTTCAGTATAATTCAGTTGGGTATTGCTGGCTTTATAGCTACATGATTCATAGTTTATTTTGGGTAGTACAAACTTAAGTTCGTTAAGTTTTCCATTTATTGTGATAGGATGGTATTATCAAAAGTTGCCTTTTGCATCATATTGATTCACTATGCTGATTTTTTAAAAAAAAATTCAATGTTTTGATATTGATTTCAAGCCATTTCTTGTCTGTGGAAGAAATTAATTTTTTTTTTGTTTAATCATGATGTACACACATTGAGATGATGACTGGTCTAACTCATTAGCACCTGCCAGAAGTGAATACATTTATATCAGTATGTTATTATGTTGTAACTAGAATTGTATGACCTTTTGCATATAACTCTTCATTCATTTTTGCTTGAATTTAACAGCCTGTAACTGAGGTGGTCAAGAAGGAAGTTACTGACAAGGATGCACAAATGGGTTTCGACATAACGCTGACAAAGCACAAAGGGCAGGTAGCGGATGTTCACTTTATCTGATAGCTGGCCGTGAACATGAGAGCTTGTTATTACATGACTTAAACTTGGGTTTGGCTTTTGCAGTATGCACTTCGGAAGTTGTATCACGAAAGTCCAAGATTGTTATGCATTCTATATACTGCACCAACATGTGGTCCATGTAGGACACTGAAACCGATTTTAAGCAAGGTACCACTGCAAAACATCCTTTTGAAAATAAATCTTCATGTATTAAAATATTTAGATATTTAATTTTGGGTTTATGGTTTTGGATCAGTAATTCCTTAATTGAGCCTAACTTGAAAACGAGTTACTATGCAGGCCATGATGCATTTCTCCTGTTTCACACAAGGAGAGGACATTTGGCAAGCATCTATATAACATGCCTGGAAGGTGTCAGTGGCACTTGCAGTCTTTATAACTTGTTTTTCTTCGGCAATGACATTAATTTGTCATTTGTTCAGGATATGATGAACAAGTAAAATAAAGGATCTATTGTCCTTAATCTACTTGTTCTGCTCTGCGATAACCATTCTTGCTGCCGGTTGATTTTAAGCCTAATTATAAGCTTCATTATTTAATCCTACTGAAGCCTAAAATAAGGCACAAGAACCATTAGAACCATCACATTATTTAATCCTACCTGATACGTTTGCAGTTTTTCATTCATTATTGATTTTGTGAAGTTAGGTAACACAAGCATCACCACTTGTTTAATCACACAATTGAACTTTCTTTTGTAGCAGGTGATAGATGATTACAACCAAAATGTGCACTTTGTTGAAATTGATATTGAAGAAGACCCTGAAATTGCAGAAGCAGCAGGAATTATGGGAACACCTTGTGTTCAATTTTTCAAAAATAAGGAAATGCTCAGGTTAGGTTGATTCTATTTAGTATTCTTTCTCTGCTTATGTAGATGTGTATTGTGTGTACTTGTAATTCTTGCATGATTCCGTATTGTTTGGATAAGCTTCACCATTTTTTGGTGCTTAGAGTATAGAATAGGATTTCATTTTGTGAATTGGGCTCGCATAATCACTGCAGAATTTGGTCATTTGAATTTTCCTCATACTTCCCTAAATGATGACAATATTGTCATCTCAGTGGTTTCTTGAACTTCCTGGAAAGTGATATCCTGGAAAGTGATATCCATACTTTGTTCAAATTAAACTCTTCTCCAATGATGACTGTGAATTGTCTTAGTAGGTTCCTAGGATAGTGTAAACGAGAGCATTTAGTGATCCACAGCCTTTGCAGATGGGTGATTCCCCAGCTGAAGAATTCTGATCTAGGATATTATAGTGGAAGAGATAAAAGAAAATTTCTACAGTCTGACCTAATATTATTATTTTTATTTTGTTTTACTCTTTTGCTTTACTGGTAAGGTTCTTGGGAGTACTCATTATATTATCATGTGTATGATCCTTCTCTTTCATAGTCTGTGCTCCGAGGAAACAATGACACAGCTTTATTAACTCATATGCTCTTTAAGTTACAAAATTAACTCATTAAGGTTTTGGTTTTGAACTGGGCATTTAATTGGGATATGTGTGGTATGCCAAGCAAGAAATGAAACTGATGCAAACTGAGATGGATGCTTTAGACTGATAGCAAAACTCAATTATGCCTGGACAATTATTCCATCGCAGCTCAGTTTTATGTGGTTCTTTCCTTGTTTTACATCAAGAAACAACTAGTATTTACCTGATCTAGAGACAACTATAGGCATCCCAATAGTTCTCTTCAGCATATTGTGTTTCATGCAATTCTCTTGTTCATTGCCAGTTATTAATTCTCTTGTTTGGTTGTACCTGCAGGACATTATCTGGCGTGAAGATGAAGAAAGAATACAGAGAAATTATCGAGGCAAACAAATGAAAAATAGAAAATTTGAAGTTTTAGCTTTTATTGTTTAACTTCTGTTCTGCTATTTAATATACCAATCCAAAAGCCCATTTTTTTCAATGTCTCTGGAACCTTAAAATATATATGTTTAGTGATCACCAGGAAATGGTTAGTGTAAAACTTGGATATCCCATTTCTCACAGGCAAGTCTACTGCCAATCCAGTTCGAGCATCATATTTACATGGATCTGCCATCTTTTCCACAGAAGGTTTATTTCCTGGTTCCTTGACTTCCAACTCAGAAGCTGTGGAAGTATGCTTGGTCACCAAGCAAACTTTCACTCATATCTTCCAAGAAAAACTTCATCATAATCTCTATTCAAACGATATCCGTTAAGATCTTCTAGTACTTTTTATTATGAGTTTGTTAACTGCCTTGTTTTCTGCTTCTTGGATCGAATGATGAATCTGGTCTTGCTTTATTTGCTACATGACTCTATGGATAGCTACTTACCTCAGGAAAAGGTAGTCTTGTCGACTATCAATAGCCTCAGAATTTGTCATATCATGTTGCTTTCTTTTCCCAAAAAAGAAGCATCGAAGACGTCTCTTAAATTGCCTTAATGAATTGATCATATATCGAACTGAATTGCATGAACAATTTTGACTTGGAACTATTTCTTATATTATATGAATTGCCTAGAACTTTAGAGAAAGGTAGAAACATGCCAAGATAATGTCCATCTCGATAGCAGAATTAATAATAATCACTAGATTGAAGATAGTGTTAGCTTGAGTTGTTAATCTAGATTAATTCATGCCTTGTTATTCACTTTTCTCGTTTGATGAAATCAATCATTTCACGGTGTCTTCCCATTTTTTCTTCACTGCGTCATGTTTTTATCTTGAAGGAAAAAAAAATAAAATTTTTTAAAGAATAATTGGAGGAGACTTGGAGCTCAAAGAATTGCATCAGAAATTTAAATGTATCAATTAGTTAGGATTAACTATAATAGCATATGCATAGGTCTGCAGTGTATATGATATTTATTTTATATATGCTAAATATAAATGAGGGATGGTTGTACAGTGTATACATAAAGGATCTTGGTCGATCAACTCGTGAGGAATTATCCGAGAGATCTAGCGGACCTAGAGTCCTTGGTTTTCATACTCATCAACAAATGTGGGACTAATGGTTTTATCAGTGCTCCCTCTTGTAGGGGAGCTAAGGGCTCATAGTCGAGGTACATGGCTCGAGAGCGAGCTTACTCGATCGAGGCACAGGCCTCAGGCCCTTTTTTTAGCGCCAATCTGATAAGGGACCATTTGATCGGTCGACCATTGGTGCGACCCGTAGGCTCACGAGGAATTGTCCATTTTGGATGGTAGCCATACCCACACGGTTTTACCCTTTCAAAACTCGTGAGCTCTACAAGGCGCCTTTGAGTGTACGGGAGATCTACATTAGTTGAAGAGTACAGGAACCAAGGGCTCATAAGTCCGTTGGGTCTCCCGTAACCTCAAAGGCATCTTTTGGAACTCATATGGACAAAAGCGTACGAGTACTCTCAAAACGGATAATTCCTCGCAAACTTACGAGCCGCACCAAATAATCAACCGACCAAATGGTTCCTTATCAGATTGGTACTAAAAGAAGAGCTCGAGGCCTGCACTTTGATCGAGCATACTCGCTCTAGAGTCGTGCACCTTGGCTATGAGCCCTTAACTCTCATATTGGAGGGAGTACTAATAAAGTTATTTAGTCTCTTGAGGCGTATGGAAACAAAGAGCTTATAAGTCTGTTGGATCACTTGTACTCTCAAAAATAACTTTTGGAGCTTATATATTTTGAAAAGGATAAAATCGTGTGAGTACGCTCAAATAATTCCTCACGAGCCCGAGCCTACGGGCCACATTAATGATCAATCGATCATATGTATGTATGTATGTATGTATATATATATATGTATATATATATATATATGTATGTATATATATGTATGTATATATATATATATATGTATATATGTATATATATGTATATGTATATATGTATATGTATATATATATATATATG